TCGACTATTAAATTAGTCGTCGACAATTTTGATAGTCAACGTAATCGTGACTAGTCGACTAATCGTGGCAGCCCTATCGTTCAGTATAAGAAACAACATACTCTCCTCAATTTAAATGGCTAACTTGACTTATGAAACTTTTGTTATTGTAAAAGCAAAACTAAAAGAGAGGTGGTGCACTGAGCTGATTATGCGCTATGAGGTTGATCAATACTATGACATGCTATGAATACTTACTAATGGAGAACATAACTGAGAGTTTGTACCTTTATATACCTGACTGAGTTTCTCTAACTATAATTCAGATTTAACTAATTGAACAACTCCATTTTAATTTCAGTTGTGTCAAAATTAACAAGAAAAGCTCTTTTCCATACATATTGAAAACTCAATTCTTTTTAATGGCCTGTATCAGAAACATGCCAATTTTACTGCACTGATGTTCAAAAAAACTTCCCAGCTTTAAAGAAATCAGATGTCCTCCACTCTAAAGAGGTTTTTAAAGATCTTTTTCACATGCAGGATTTCTTTTAATGTTACTTTTAGATTCTGGACTTTCTGTAAGTTATGCAAACCTAGACAAATGTAACGCAATTTGAAAGGGTAAGGTCAAGTGCTATAAAGACATTAAAGAGCACAGCTATAGATGCAGAAGATTCTGTTACTTAGTTCAACAGGACTGACTGCATCAGCTTCAGGAAACATCCCCAGCCATCCAGACTGTCCAGTGCCATTCCATCTCAATCTACCTGAATGACTTTGCACTATGCATCCTTGAACGCAAGGGCTTGCTGCAGGATTTAGTACTGCAGTTCAAAAATACAATCCTTACAAGAGAAAGTGTGTACCTGAAGAGGAGACTCACTAAATACTTCAAACTCTGAGAGTTAGGGTGCTTGGAGTGATGGCGTGTCATTCTGTAGAGTCAGAGTCCTGGCTGTTATACTCAGCCGTCTCCATCTTGAGGATGTAAGGAATTATGCTGTCAATAGAAACATTTCCTATTAAGCCAGTGAAGAAGAGCTCCTCTGTGATGCTTGAGTTCATGAGGCGCAGTGCAGGCAGACGAGTCAGAATACGTGTCAGCCTGAGGAATGGAATAAAGATGTAATTTATACAACACATCACTGCATGCAAACACGGTTTTACCTGAAATGGAATAAAGGCCTTCTGCCAGACCTCCACAGAAAAGAAAAGGACACAGGAGTTCAGGTTTGTGCCAATGGACGATGACGTCAGCGATCGACCTTGGTCAAAGTGAACCAATCAAGGCCAATTTTAGATTATTTCCCCAGTGATGCATTAAATTAATGTGATCATTATTATAAGAGTCATGATACAATGAATCTGCCTTGCTATAATATAATATAATGTTGCATTTACATATATAATTGAAAGTACATGTCTGGACGTCTACACACTTTCAAATGAGTGTGTGTGTGTGTGTGTGTTCATTAAAAAACAAATTAAAAAACATCTCTTCAAGCTAGAAATGATAAATAAACTCCTGGGGTGTGTGCTCGTTTCTCCCTGGGTGTTACAGACTTTTTTGTCTTTGGAATCCACATTGTACATTATGAAGGGTGGATAGTGGTACACCGATGGTCCTCTGCTGCCCACCCCACCCTAACACAACTATTATCGCTGTTTTCACTTTGTTATCTGCAATAACATGGTAAGAGCATTCCTCACATACCAATTCACAATATAGGCACTTGTATCCTGTACAGCTGAATGAAACCAACAACCCATATTCCTCTGCTCACCATAATATGCTGCTAATCAAATCATTGGCTTGTCGCTCAAAATTCACTGCATCATACAGCCTGGGTACGACTTATTTAGATTCAAACTCTGATTATTATAGTAAACACTGTCTAAAGGTGTGGTGCTTCACACAGCTATCATAAAAATCTTGAGGAAAGAGAGGCAGAGAAGTCTAGACTCTCTCCCCAGCCACCTCATCCAGCTCTTTCTAGGTAATGCCAAGAGAATATCCCTGTCCTCCTGTGAGGACATGCTCAGAACACCTCATCCAAGAAGCAACCAACGTCAGCTAGCTGAGAACAACCCTTTCTTTAAGGAGAGGTCAATCACCTTTCAAAGAAAGCTAATTTCTGCTGCTTGTATCCACAATCTCATCCTTTTGATATGGCTTTTTTGTACAATGATGCTCCATCTGGTGGCTGATGGTTGTAACTAGGATACAAATTTGGGATACAAAACTTTACCAGCACTGGACATCAAATAAAATGTTAACAGTCAGATTAAATGACAGCTGAACAGCAGTCAGACAACATCAGCCAAAAGCTTTTTTCAGACATGCACTGCAGACCTGCACCCTATAGACATGACCTGTTTTTACTCTGCAGAGAAAAGAATGCAAACGTCAGATGCAGTCAGCTTGGATGTTTAACAGTCTTAATACAGCTCCCTTCTGCAGAGTCTGAGATGTTTTACTGTCACAGCCACAGTGAAAATAAAAGCTTCAAGCCTGGCAGACAGTGACGTGTCCCACAGAATGAAACAGGTATATGCTGGAGAGAAGTTGCAAAAACCAAAAAAGACTCAACCAAACTCACAATTAACTTACGCCAATAAAATAAGAGTGGCATAGTATCAGTTATTTTTCCATCTTAGTGCTGGGTATTAAGTTAGGGTATCACTTTGTATAACACTTTTTGTCACTTTGCTTTGAATGTGGGTGAGAGTAGGGCAGGAGGTATGACTGTACCTGTAGGTGTCATCTGGATATGTTTTCTGCACATAGTCCTGTAGCTCCATCAGAGCTTTCTCCTGGAACTTCTCAATCTGCCCACTGCTGTCCACACCTGGGTGATCTGATGAGTCAAACACACAACAGTTGTTCTCCAAAATCATTTGACTGATAACAGCTAGACTGTCCATTATTATTTCTGACACAGAAAATCAGACGCACCTGGGCTGAACAACACTATAGCCTTCAGGTAGGCGTATTCATAGCTGTCGGTCTCCAGCCTTGTCATGCTGTTACAGAACTCCTGGAACTTCCAGATATGCTCCATCACCTGTTTTACCCTTTCCCCTGACAGTTTGTCTGAGACAGAAGAACGTTTCCATTTTGTATAAATATTCATGGTTTAAGTCTCTTATTTTCTTTAATTCTTTTCCATCTTAATGGTCTGAGAAAAGTTACTTAGAGAAACAACAAAAAGCATGTCGTCACTGAAAAACGACGCAATTCTTAGTCAGTGTTAGTGGCAAGTGTCGTCACTTGTTTGCAATGTAGTTGGCTTCATTAAGCCAAAATGGTCCTAGCAGGGGGGATTTTTATTTATGCAATTACATTTCAGTTTTGTTACAATCTAAATTAAAAACAGCAACAATATGAGCCTGTTCTGATTTCATCACATGTAAGTAATAAAGTTGTCTTCTATGCTTAAGGCCTATGTTTGTTAATAACAAAAAAGAAAGGAAAAAAAAGAAAAATCACATTTCTTTACTCCTGTTTATATGCGTGTGTGTCCTACTGTGAAAGATGGCGAGGTCTGTGGTCCATACCATCCTGGATGCTGCTTTGAAGGTGGTTGATGATGGCTGCAAGGATGGTCGACAGGTTCATCACATGAGCGCACTGAGCAAGACCCAGAGTGAACAGCTCGTTCCAACAGGCTCGCACCAAACTGGTGTTTGCCTCCTGACTGAGAAGAGAGGGAAAATATTGATTAACAATCATCTGGTAGTGTTTGCAAAGACAACAGCTTGCAGTGGTTTAATTTAAGTGTGAAAACTCTCTCACCCGAGAGCTGAGAAGGCTGGGATTGAGCGTGCCCAGTGCATGGAGAGGAAGAGAAGTCTAGATGCAGATTCACAGATGTAGTGTACATTCAGATACTCGGGCATGGGGCTGGGCATGGTCAGCTAGAGGAAAGATACAAACACAACACAGCTGAAAAGGACATCAAGTACAAAAACCTTACTGCTGACAGGAGAATGGTAACACAAAGGAAACACAAAGCAAGTGTTAAATGAGTCGCTCCAGTTAATGCACATTGCACAAAATGTCCAGCAGGGGATCTGCTTGTTACATGTCATATTTTTCACTGTTCCTCGTGTTTCCTGCCAGTATCTTTGCAAGGACAAAAATCAAATAAACACCAACTAAAAAGAAACTTAAAATAAGTGTTTCAACTGCAGGTGATAACAAACCACTTAACAGGGTTTTGCTGTTTATTATTGACCACGCATCCATACTTCGGTAATTTAAAACTGCATAGACAGATGAATGGTCTTGTACTCTGGTGAATAACCTCCAAGTACCACTTCTGTGGATGTCAATCGGTATCCCTCAGCTGTCAATCATCTCCAAAAATTGTACAATATTGTTCTTCCCATTACATGTGAACTTTACTCACCTTAAAGCTGACATGGCTGTCTGTGAGCAGTGGTCCTTCCACCTCTATAATAGGGGTCTCCTGGTCTCGACCAATCAGCTGGATCGTTGTTCCACTGACACAATGTGACTTATCAGCCAGATTGTCTTCGACCCCAACTTCAGGTGGGTTGAAGACTTTGGCCAGGGTGTCAAAGGCACTGTGTGCAACACACAAGCACACATAAAATGACCTTTCATTAATTTCATTAACAAGAAAAATATAAGTCACAAAAGTAGAAATGTGTTCTTATTGCACACATACATGCGTTAACTCCTTAGCACCACTTTTATTACCTAAATGCTGTTTTTAACACTATTTTTTTTTTACACACAATTATCCAGTTACTATGTTCATTCAAATAAGAACAACAACAATGCAAAGTCATCAATGAGATCTTATCTACAGTCTACAACGAAGGTTTTATCAGTGTTAAAAATAATGCAGATATTAGAACCCACAATGCATAACTCACAAAATTACCAATGCGGTATTAAACAAATGCAAATAGAGAACTGGTTTACTTCTGCAGAGACAAACAAAGTAAATTTTAAGAGAACACTAACGATAAGCCACCTGAACCCAAATCTGAACAAGCAAAGGCAAGACTTCTCTCTGGGTGTTGCTTACTGACCGTGTTATCTCGCTGGCAGACTGCCCTTCATGTTGGCTGTCTGAGGTATCACCATTGTTTAGGTTTTCTTTTAGTGAGTCACTTAGGTTGGCCAGTGATGTCACAACGTTGGCTAGCGTCCCCAAGTCTCCCTGCCCACAATCCATCTAAAGACAAGTGACACAATGCAGATTATATCCCACCATATAGGCAACATAACCAGCATCCACTGTACATACATTACAGCCTAGCACAGATTTTATGCTCCAACCTCTTTACATGACTTACAAAAGGCAGATGTTTTGTTTACTGTTACACAGTCTCCTTAATAATTAGATGTACCTTTGAATCAGTTGCCAGCACCAAAGTTCCATCACTCTGGATCACTGGCTGCTGGATGTTAACCAGCATCCCCTGGTCCAGCAAGCTGGACCTACATGTGGTACAAAGAACCATCAAAACAACTTTACAAAATTGTTGGAAACTTAAAGAAGGTGCAAATTTAACAGCTCAGACCCAATGTTTGTCTGCAGGTCTGACCTGGATCCATCTGTCTCTGTATCGGAGATAAATGTAGGTGTGGCGATGAGTGGACTGTTTAGGTCCTTACGAATGTAGATCTTTTGGGTGGAGGCAGCACAGTTGGCATGCCTCTCTCTGGGCACAATGTCGATGGGTTTCCTCTCACTCTGGACAGCTGAATATTTACAGGAGTCAGAATGTGTTAATATTTTCCTCATGCTTACAAGTAAAAGCAAAGAACATTGTGCATTTCTACAAGCATGCACTGAGAACCATGCTAATGATATTCAGTGTCTCTCAGAATACTGCAGATATGAGGTACTTCTGCTTTAACTGATCAGAATAGTTCTCAGTTGGATTTCCTGAAAAATTGATGGTAAAGAAAGAGCTGAACCTATATTTTTACTAAAAATAACCCTTGCTGAGTAGCTGTAGGGACAATGTTTCCTAAACAACCTCCTGCAGCAGTATCCAGTGTCACACCAGTCTGTATTTTATACATGTCAGGTCAGGAAAAAGATAGAAGACTTTTTCAGGCCATATCTCACTTATTTCTCAAGGTAACTGAAACTATTTTCTCAGGGACAATACTTGACTTGTTTCTGGGTGTATTTTTTGCACTGTGTCCTGGAATTGGATGCACACTCACACTCAGTCTTCATCCCCATCTTAAGGCATTTTCTCAACCGACAGAATTGGCAGCGATTGCGGTGGTGTTTGTTGATGACGCAGTCCTGCTTACTGCGGCAGCTGTAAGTCAGATTCTTCCTCACACTCCGCTTAAAAAAGCCCTTACATCCTTCGCAACTGACGGCTCCATAGTGACGTCCTGTACACAGACAAAAAAGGTCTTATTTACTTAGGTACCCGTGGTTGAGTCTACTGACAATATGAAGCTGAACACACAGCTGGACTTTGCCAAAGTATATAGAAAAGATCCGAAGTATACTGATGTTAAGTGGCTGAAGTACCTGAAGCCTTGTCTCCGCACACCACACAGTACTCCACCGGCTGTGGTCGGCTCAAATCTCCTGACTGTCCTAACAACCGTTCCATTGACACTGGATCTGTAACAATCTAGAAAAAAAGCATTAAAATAAGAACAAGTTATTTCCAGTAGTGTTGTCACATATTCCCTATGTGGCAGTATTAAGAGGGAAATGTACCTGTATTCTTCCTGGCATGAGGCTGTCTGCAGCAGTGAAGATGAGCTGTTTGGCGTTGTGACTGTCTGGTGAGGCCAGGATGACCTTTCCTGCCCCTGAGCTGTCAGCTGTAGTCAGAATGAACTGTTGCTTGGGGGCACTGGATGGGTTCATTGCTGTCACTATCTGGATCTTCTGACCGGTCTGCTGGTCGGTTACAATCTGGGGGGGATAAGAGATGAAAGAGGAAGACAGAACAACAGGGAAAGGGTGGAAGATCCAAGAAAAATATTTTAACACCAACATGTTCAGCGCCCCTGCGAAAGGGGACAATGCCAACAGGTTGTAACACATTCAAGTTTAAGATGTTACCTGAATTCGCTGTGGTGTAGAGGGCTCAGTCGAGATGACCTGAAAGCGCTGCGGAGACTCACTCATCACCGAGTCTGATGGAGAGGATGACACCTAATTGGTTAAATGTATAAAAATAATCTTAATTAATAAGTCTGCAACACAAATACATTTCATTTGAATATGCAGCGTTGAAATGTTTTGCTACAAAATGTTATACACTTTTATTGTAAGTGAAAGAAGACAGCAAAAGGTGAATTATATCTTAAAGGTAACCACACAACCAAAGTGAGTAAAACCATCAAAAAAGAAAAAAAAAAATCATATTGGTTAGATGAAGCAACAACTTCAGACCACTCACCTCTGCCTCATGCTCAGAATCCACTTTCTGCTGGGAAAGCAGATTCAGGTTGGACGTCATGATGAAGTAAAGTCATTAGTGACGTCTGTTTGGAAGGATGTCAAAGAAAATAATTAAATAACTAATAAAAATACCATCTACCCCAGAAGAGCAGGCTGACATTACTGACTCACATAATGGTCACAGAAGATGCAGCAAGACATTGGATGATTTTGTATGGTGCGATTTGGCTACTGAAGCACACCAGTGTCTCCCTCATGTGTTCTTATGAATGGGTGGCATAAACATTAAAATATTACGCCACTTTAAAATACTAAATCTGTGCTGCAGCAATGCCTTTGCAACCCAACTTTTAAAACCATTAAAAATTAAACAAAAGACAAGCTTCTCTCTTTTTATATTATATAATAACAAATGCAATCAGTCTTCAAACTAAAATAAAATTGACAAAACAGTTTCTGTTTACTGCCCTGTTACCTATATATTAAGCTATAGACTGCTGTATCATCACACAGTTATTAAAAGTAATATTCTTATTTTTTTAGGTAACTTCAACAAAACATTTCACTTCAATCACAAGAAGAATTTATTGTGATTTTTAACATATGGAGAGTATTGCAACAATGTATATTGTGACATTTTTAAAATTGCAAATTATGACCTCAAGTTAAACTTTGTCTGTATTTGTTTTATCCAATAAGATAAAGTTATCTCACTTCCGTTATTTTTTTTGCTGCAAAATGAGATTGTCAAGCATACCAACACTGTCCCTAAAACCTGCATAAATGTTGCCATTACATGGAGCCTGCAGCCTACATGAATAACCAGAATACAATCAGCTGGCAGCCAGATGAGTCAAGTCCCTTTGAGTTGTGCACAATGACAGACCCATTCAGACTGATGGCAACATGCTGGCAATCTGTTTGCATTTAAAATTAGACAGCAATTACTTGCAAACCTTCAAGAATCTTTTTCAGAGTGATTACAGTCAGCCCAAGTCCAGACTATTACAGTTTGCAGAAAGGTTATCTCTGATCAGGCAAGGCATCCAAGCAACGTGCGATTAAAAGTGCTTGTAAACGTGCAATAAACCTTTGGCTTGCTCTGAACTAGGAAGCACCTTTTTCAAGGTTAGTCTGTCCGGTGTTGGATGGTTTTTTTAGTCAAATAAATGTTTGCTCAGGAAATGTTATCTTGGGATGGTGGTGCATGAGATGAGCCCTATAGCTCATAGTATTAACAGTGTATTTTAATTTGTTTAATACTATGTTCATATTTAGTGTCCCTGTATTGATATAAGATTGCACTGCAAAATAACACAATACAATACACAATTCTATATAAATCTTTTCCCCCATCCTTAATAAGACCTGAGCAACTGTCCAATACAATGGTTCAAAGATCGACAGGTTGGTGTGTTCCTCTACATGTGACTTTACGCTGACTTTAGAGCCATACTTTAGCACTTCTGCATATTCTCACACAGAGAGTAAGCCACGACAGCAGGAGGATTTCACTTAATTTGGTAATATAGCTGACATGTTATTATAGACCACAACACAACTTGCTAAGACAATTTAAGCTATCAGTTAAACTCACCTTTACCTTTGTTAAATGTCTATTTTGTTTCTTTTGAAAACCAAAATCACATTCAAAGTGAAGCTAACTGAAGAGGGTTTGGAACCATCACTGCGTTAGTGTTAGATATTATATGTTATCACAGATATGGTCAATCCTCCTATACTGCTGCACCTATATTGGTTAATGTAATAATTTCTACCTATGAATCTTGAGTTGCATCAGTCCAGTGCCAGAGTAATTTCAGTGGGTGAGACACTTTTTGGAGATAGTAATACCACACTGACATTGACAGAGGCACCAATCATTTCTTACTTTGTACATCTGTCCTCCGAATGGACAAATATGAAATGCTGTCAAGACTTAAAAAACATAGTAAATATGAAGGTGTCGAAACTAACTCCCACTGCTTTTAATATTTTTAAAACTTCTAATTTACTTTACTTTATATTTTATTGTCACTGAAGAGGAAATTTGTTCTGGACTCCAAGTCCCAGTTCACAGCATAGCTATTGTGACCACCACAAACATACAAAGCACAATAAGTCACAATTCAGCATCACATCAACATTAATTGTTAATGTTGCACTAACCCAATGACTCCACACTACAGACTAATATTTCTAGCATTAACGGAACAGAGCACAAATTAATTTTGAAATCCTTTAAACTTCTGCCAGAAGGTAACAATAAATACAAGATGAATTGAATCTCACAAAATGTTGAAACACACACTGTTCATAAAGTGACTGAGGGCTATGATGACATTTTTCCACTTTGAACAACCCTAGATTCGCTGTCAGTGTAACATAACTGCTAGTATGTTAAAAAAAAGAAAAAAGAAAGAAAGAAAGAAAAACTCAAGCTGCACTAGAAGATCTAGAAATTAGAATGATTTTTTTAAAGCTGTGATCACCACCTTGCAGCATCTTTATTTTTGGGGGAAGTGTCTAAATCCACCTTTCATTAGTTCAATTCTTTCTAATCTACTGGCATTTGAAAGATTTCCGTCCTCTGTTTATATGATCTTGTACTGTTTATAATACAATCTGACAGCCTTTGGGGGGAAATGATTTATGTGGCTGCAGTAACCATACAGGAATCTGATGTAGCTTCATATTGTTTACTGATTGGTCTAACAGTACGTCCATCATTACCTCTTTTCTCGAACGTATCACAACACATAACAAAATGGAGAATCTGGCAATCAGCCAGTAACATCGAAGACAAATCCTTATGATAAATATGTTCGAGCAATTTTGTTTTCAGACACCGAACAGATGAATGTTGAAATTCTGGTGGCGAATATAAAAAAAGGCAGCTGTGATGAATAAAAGGTATGGTCGTAGTACTTTCAATCCACTCCCGTCCCCGGGATGGCAAAGGTAAAAGGGTCGAGTTCATCTGCTGCAGCTACAGCTTTCCAGCATTAGCCCCTTCAGCTAGTAGGCTGCAGTGAGAGCCGACTGCAGCTGTGTGCCCCACTGTGGCTGTCATCCTAGCACGCAGGGATTGGTTCAAGTCGACAGCTGTGTCATCGTATTTAACAATTAATTTAGCTGTCACCAAAACATGTCAGACTAAGCAGACTGAGACCGATGTTTCACGGTCCATGCCCGCACTCCGAGCTGCCGGAGACGGCCAGGAAGGGAGCTCCGCATCGGCTAGCTTGCTAGCTAGTCGGGAAATTAGCTACGCTCTTTTATGGTCCTGTATGTCTCACAGCTTTCTACTGTTTTCAGTCCAGGACTCAGACTTACCTCCGGGAACTGGCGGTCACAGATTTAGTACTCTCTGCTATTTTATAAAATATTTGTTTTGGTTTTCTTCTGTTAAAGGTCATAGTTCGTGACCCCGCTCCGCCAGCGAGTTGATGATGGTTGAGTTTTTTTTCCTCCTTCCTCTCTCGCGTACCCGCGCGACTCCAACACCCCCCCCCACCCTTAGCGCGAGCCAGACAGGACTGACGTCATTATGTCTGACTGTCTGGACTTTGTTTTTTTTTTGTTGTTTTTTTTTGAATAAACTTTATTTATCACATTTTAGACATACAGTCGAGTAAAACAGGGATCACATAAAAGATGACATTGTAGTAGTACAATGAGGAACAGAGAGAGTGACAAGGACAGTGAGACAAAAGTGAGTACAAAAAAATAAAATAAATTAAGGGGAACATAAATAAACAAAAGTTTGCAAGAG